CGGGCCCGGGAACGGGCAACGGGACCGCACCCCTCGGTGTTGCGCCTGCGCCTCGCTCAGCCAGTGAGCGGGAACCGGTCTGTATGTGGGATCCGAACCCTCGGCGGGAGCGCCGCCGCGCTTCCCAAGCGGCGCACTATCCAGTGCGCCACCAGGCCGGCCCCATAGAATGTAATTTATAAGTATTTTATTTTCATCAACTAATGCCAAATAATATGATGAATTTTCTATCAAGTTCTCCAAACTAGACAGTGATACAGTAACAGAATTAAAGCAGACATGCTAAAACCAACTTTTTTGCCAAAACAATTGATGATTGTGGTGGGAATTCATTCCTCATCATGGGAAACATGTAATTTCAACCTTCTGAGGATTCATTTCATTTCCAAAAATGAATAAATAGAACTTACCTTCATTACATTAAATAAAACCTCCTGCCCAAGGCTATCTTTTTCCTTAAAAAAATTGTGTTCAGGATAAGTTCTAGCAATGTCCCTTCGGATCAACTTTTCACAAGGTGATGTCATTTTGAGAAGTTCTGAATACTGATCCTTAATTGGCATACTTTGTGCACTGCATAAAAGCTGCCAAACTATTGCTCTAAAGTGGTGGGGTATCCCTTTACGAACAAGTTCCTAAAAATAAAAAGAGTAAAATAAAAATTTTAAAATAAATCATTTAAGTCTCCTACCTTGCAAGCCAAAGAAGACTTATTGGGGGTTGGAGTGGAATGGAGGACTTTATCAATTTATAATTCACAAAGCTAGTTTTATAATAAAACTAGGGAACCTCTACCCAAGACTAAGATTTGGCCCTTGTGTATATCCTGTTCTGGTCCAGGGGACTACAATGCCATTGATAAATTCTGGTCATCTTGCACAGAGTGTAAACTTTAAAAGTATTAAGGACTTAACCTGTAGAGCTGAGAATGATGGTACAGTAACCATCACGTTTCAAAAGGCTGTTTAGGGTAAAAAAAAAAAAAAAGTAAAAGACTGCTAATTCAAGCATGTAGGATGTCACATCTTCATTTCTGAATCTATAAAATAAGAGAATTGAACTAACTTCTAAATTAACTTCCAGCTATCTATTTCTTCTATTTCTACATTTTGAGGACCTTTTATAACAACTGATATTTACAAATCAAAATTTCTATGGATACAAACAAATGAAAACACATAAAGGAGACCTCTTTATTATACAGCTTGGAAATTACTAGAATCTGTTTTTTTTTTTTTTCCCAATCCTCTATTAATCCATGCCTGATGCCCTTTGGGACATGAGGAAGAACTGCAACAAAAACATGAATACCTTAACTTGCTTTTCCTTCTTTCTGCGTACATCTTCCCATTCATTAACAATTCTTCCCCAAAGAATCCAAGAATCTTCTTCAAGGTGGCTGAGATTGCTAGAGGCTGATGAACTTGATACAAGAGAGGAGCCGCTGTTTCTTCTTGACCCATTTACAGATCTTAAAGACTTACTATCCGTCTCTAACAATCTAAAACGTAATTAAAAATTGCTCAAGATCTCATCTCACAATAATACCAGATGAAACAGAGATGGCACTTCGAGCTTCACTACGACAATTTAGCCATTGTTTTAAAATAAAGTTTTAATAATATGCATAACTTCAATAATTTTTGGTTGATATCAGTAAGATAACTGCTATGCATTGCAGTTTCAAAATTTGAAATGGCAAATTATATTAAATATTTTATAATGCTATTAACCCCATTTTATAATGCTATTAGCCCCTTTCATCACTATTAAAAACTCAAATTAGGAAATCTGGTGAGAAAAGTGGTCAAACAGGCTTCAAGAAAAAAGAATCTATACATGAAAGAAGTACAATAAATTCTATGGAATAACTAATCCTATAGTGTTTACAGTGCCTCCTGGGCTAAAAAAGTAAGACAGAGCCACAGAAATTAACCAAATTCCTTCTCTTTTTTCATTTTCCTTAAAGCATACATAACTAATCTTTTTTTTTTAAAGATGACCGGTAAGGGGATCTTAACCCTTGATTTGGTGTTGTCAGCACCACGCTCTCCCAAGTGAGCTAACCGGCCATCCCTATATAGGGATCCAAACCCGTGGCCTTGGTGTTACCAGCACCACACTCTCCCAAGTGAGCCATGGCTAGCCCTACACATAACTAATCTTCCCAAACAAAAAGTGTTTTGTTTATGGCTGACATGTTAGCTCAGTTGGTTAGAGTGCAGTGTTATAACACCAAGATCCACGGACTACCTAGCCACCAAAAAACAATAAACTAAATTTTTAAAAAGTGTTTTGTTTGACCCATGCAGTGTTTGTGTAAAACACTGAACTATTACTAATATTCAAACTGGGATATTATATACTTGTTTATATACATATATACTTTATTAATAATTCTAGATTCTGTTGAAAAATATAACGATAGGGCAAAACCAGCCTATAATCTTTCCTGTACAGTAACAACAGGGTGTAGCTAAGTAAGGATCTCTTCCTTTAGATGAGGAAGAACTTCAAGTCACTCAATCTCTACAATCCCTAACCTTTTCCCCAAAACTCAGGCCAATTAACTGCTGCTATTTATCATTGGTCTTACACTGTTAAACTGGGACCTCTTGACTTTCAAGATCCCTACTGACTTTTGAGTTTGCAACACTGTTTTAGGTCTTTTCCTTATCTGTAGAAAAATGGCCAAGCTAATTTCAAAGATCCATTCCATGACTCATCACATTAAATCCTTTATTTTTTTCACATATGCACAACCTATAAAGGAGAGTTGGAAAATGTGGCTCTGTAACTATAAAGATAATAATTTAGGGCCCATATCATTCAAATAATATGGGCCCTAAAACATCAATTTGTGTATTTAACAGGCTACCACTCACTTCCAGTAAGCCTTTGAGAAAAAGTCATCTGCATAGGATACAACAAATGCTCCCAATATTAACTTATGAAATATAAAAACTGAGAAAGAAAAAAAATATGGGTTAAATCCTCTTCAACAGATTATTGAACTACCCTTTGAGAACCAGATTTATAACCTACTCACCTTTACATCCCTTAGAACATTTAGCTCAATGCAATGTACATCAACTATTTATTAAATTTAAATAAATCATAATTCTTATATTTTAAAAAAACTTCCAAATCTCAAATATGTCATATCGAATAACACAATAGTATAAATTAAACAAATTCTATCTCTATTTAGGAAAAATTTAATATATTTTCATGGGGACAATAATTTAAATAAAATTTCCCAAATATTGCTAGAAACATAAAATGTTATCAAACAGCCAAGTTAAGCTTCAACTAACCGCCATAAATACTATTTATTTAAAAAGTATTAGAGATGATGTTTTACTTTAAATACTGTTTTTCATAAATGTTACTTCAGTATGTCCATAATATATCTTACGAAAAAATTAGTGTATCTGTAAAAGTAATTTTCTATATGACTCTAAGCCCTAAAAAGTCTAAATGAATAGAGAAACAAACATAACTGAAATAACCTGAACCTAGTTCTTTGCTTTACTTATTTATTAAATGCTTGCTATATGCCAAATAATTTATACTGCATCAATACCATCAATAAAGATGGCCGGTTTGCTCACTGGCTGAGCGTGGTGCTGACAACACCAAGCCAAGGGTTGAGATCCCCTTACCGGTCATCTTTTTAAAAAAAAAAAAAAATACCATCAATAAAGATGGCCGGTTTGCTCACTGGCTGAGCGTGGTGCTGACAACACCAAGCCAAGGGTTGAGATCCCCTTACCGGTCATCTTTTTAAAAAAAAAAAAAAATACCATCAATAAAGATGGCCGGTTTGCTCACTGGCTGAGCGTGGTGCTGACAACACCAAGCCAAGGGTTGAGATCCCCTTACCGGTCATCTTTTTAAAAAAAAAAAAAAAAAATACCATCAATAAAGAGACATGCAGTTCAAAGAAAATAATGGTATTTCCTAAGTTAAACCTAAGCTTGAAGTACAATGGCAGTCTAGATTTTTTTTAAAAAGTACCTAAATAGAAGGCTTTTAGAGAGTCAGAAAGGTCTCAGAGATGCTGAGTTGCAACTTTTAGGATAAACAAGAATGCCAAGTGAATTCATGGGTGGGTTGGAGAAGGTTAAGCAGTTCACCTTCAGAGAACACTGAAATAGCATAGTCACTTATACAAAGCTGTGAGAAATGCTTACAAATAAAATATTCCAAGTAAAGACATTAATTTTTTAAAGATACCATCCTTATCTCATACACAAAAATGACTCAAAATGGATGACAGACCTAAATATAAAACTATAAAGCTTCTAAAAGAAAACACAGGAAAACCTTTTTAAACCTGGGTTAGGCAGAAATTTGTTAATGGGACACAAGAAAACACTAACTAAAAAAAAAAAAACCCTGATTAAAACATTGGACTTCACCAAAATTTAAAATCTCTGCTCTTCAAAAGATACCATTAAAAAAATGAAAAGGAAGGCCCTAGACTGGGAAAAAATATTCTCAATACATGTATCTGACAAAAGATTGGTATCTATATGAAAAATTCTTAAAATCAATAGTTAAAAAGCCAACTACCACACTTTAAAAAATACATGAGACACATTGACACTTTCCAAAACAAGATAACCAAACAGACAATAAGCATTTGAAAAATGTTCAACATCTTTAGTTATCAGGGAAATGCAAGTTAAAACCACACTACATACACATTAAAACTTTAATTTACATTTGTAAAGACTGACCATACCAAATGCTGGCCAGAATGAGAGCAATTGTAATTCTTGTATATTGATATCAGAAGTATAAAACAGTACAACCACTTTGAGTAACTGTTTAGCAATTCCTTATAAAGTTAAAATGCATTTCTACATGGCCCAGCAAGTAATGAAAATATATGTCAAAAAAAGGCTTCTCGTTGAAATTTCATAGAAGCTTTATTCATAATAGCCAAAAACCAGAAACAACCCAAATGTCCAGGAAATATTAAATGATCAAATTGTAGCATACTACCAGCAATAAAAACAAACTGCTGACACATGCATCAACATGGATGAATCATATAAACGTTAGTTAAATGAAAGAAGCCAGATGCAAAAGAGGTCCCACTTATATAGAGTTCGAGAACAAGCATAATATACAAGAAAATATAGGAGTTAAATCCTCATGATTTTGAATTAGGTAAAGCCTTCTTAAATATGACACCAAAAGCACAAGTGACAAATGAAAAAACAGATAAACTGGAATTCATCAAAATTAAAAACATTTTGTACTCTACTGGCTACCGTTAAGAAAGTGAAAAGACAACCCACCGAATGGAAGAAAATATTTGCAAATCATAAGAGACCTCTATCTAGAATATACATAAAAAAATCTAACAAATCAAAAATAAGATGACAAAAATACCCAATTTTAAAATGGACACAATATCTGAAGAGACATTTCTCCAAAGAAGAACTACAAATGGTCAATAAGCACATGAAAAAATGCTCAACAGCACTAATCACCAGGAAAGTGCAAATCAAAACCACAATGAGACACCACTTCACAACCACTAAGATGACTATAATCAAAAAGACAGTTAATAACAAGTGTTTGTGACAATAGGGAGACAATGAAACTCTCATACACTGCTGTTGGGATGTAAAACGGTGCAACCACTTCAGAAAACAGCCTAGCAGTTCCTCAATTGGTTAAACAAAGAATTTCCATGTGACCCAGCAATTCTACTCCTACACATATATTCAAGAGAAATGAAAAATTATTTCCATACCAACTTATACATGAATGCTCATAACAGACCAAACGTCCATCAACTGATGAATGGATAAAAAAACGTACAATATATCTGCACAATTTAATATCATGCAGCCATGAAAATGAATACAAGAGAAATGAAAAATTATTTCCATACCAACTTATACATGAATGCTCATAACAGACCAAACATCCATCAACTGATGAATGGATAAAAAAACGTACAATATATCTGCACAATTTAATATCATGCAGCCATGAAAATGAATAAAGTTCTGATACATGCTACAACATGGATGAACCTTGAAAATATTATGCTAAGATAAAGAAGCCAGTCACAAAAGGACACATATCATGTGATTATACCTTTATGAAATATCTAGAAAACAGAAAGTAGATTAGTTGTTGCTGAGGGCTGGAATAGGAATGGAGGAAGCCAGGGATCCATAACCGCTAATGGGGTGATGAAAATGTTCTAAAATTGATTGTGGTGAGAGTTGCACAATTCTGTGAATACACTGAAAACAACTGTATACTTTAAATGGGTAAGCTGCACAGTATATGAATATCTCAGTAAAGCTGTGATATAAAAAAAAGAACAGGCAAAATGTACCTATAGAGATAAAAATCAAATGAGAAGTTTTGGGGACCTGGGGTTGCTAGAAATGACACAAAGAAATTTTGGGGGATGATGTGAATTTTTTGTGATAGAAATTTTCTAAGTCTTAATAGGCATTTGGGTTA